TTAGACAGATTCAGACACTTGTTCAAGATCATACAGATATTCAGTGATGGCATCTGGATTTTAAGCCATAATGTCTGAGGCCAGAGTTCACTCTTTTGAGTAATGGATATAAAAACACTACAAATATAATAGGAATAGTCTGACATTTAAAAGGTAACCTGACTGTATAATTTCTTCCAGAAGTAAGGTTCTTTCTTTGTTTCCCTAAGTCACCAAGAAAAGGCATACTGGTAAATATACCTGGATCATAGCACTGTCCTATAGAAATAGCACTCAAACTAAACATAAAATTCTAAATTTTCCAGCAGCCACATTTTAAAAAGTAAAAAGAAAACGGTAAAATTAATTTTCATATTTCCTTTATAAAGTATCCAAAACAGCCTGGCCTGTGTAGCTCAGTGGTTGAGCATTGACCTATGAACCAGGAGGTCACAGCTTAATTTCTGGTCAGGGCACATGCCCCAGTTGCTGGCTCAATCCCCAGTAGGGGGCATGCAGGAGGCATCCAATCAATGATTCTCTCTCATCATTGATGTTTCTGTCTCTCTCCCTCTCCCTTCCTCTCTGAAATCAATAAAAATATTTTTAAATGTAGTGAAAATGAATTCGAATTCATACAAAATCTGAATTTTTTTAAAAAATGTATCCAAACATTATTATTTCACTACATAAAATATAATCAATATTTTAAAATATAAAACTATTTTACATCCTTTTTTATATTAAATTTTCAAAATCTGGTGTGTATTTTTCTCAAGTAAGGTATAATTGACATACATTAGCTTTGGGTGTACAACATACTGATTCAATATTTGCATATATAGCCAAATGATCACCACCTAAGTCTCCTGAACATGTCGCCACTCGTGTTCACAAACTTTTTTTGTGTGTGATGAGTACTTTTAAGATCTACTCTCTTAACAACTTGCAAATATTCAGTACGGTATTATTAACTGTAGACTCTAGTGTGTATTTTATACTGACATCACATCTCAATTCAGATGAGCCACATGTGTCTGGACTATGCAAGGTTGAGATAAAACAGAGTAAACTGGAGAATCAAATTCATAGCAAAGGACAACTTATGACCTCAGTTCATGTTGTCCCCGGACAGTGCCTCCACCAAGTGCGGCAGGAAGCATAGCCCTCCTGTCTGCCTTTCCCAGAACTTTATCTTCCTTTGTAAAACGTCAGATTTTTCAGGAGTCAAGCTTAGCATTTTATTTTAGGAAAACAATTTTCCAGCGGTTCTCAACCTGTGGGTCGCCAACAATGAAAATACATCCTGCATATCAGATATTTACATTACGATTCATAACAGTAGCAAAATTACAGTTATGAAGTAGCAACGAAAATAATTTTATGGTTGGGGGTCACCACAACATGAGGAACTGTATTAAAGGGTCGCAGCATTAGGAAGGTTGAGAACCACTGAAACGTTTCTTCTTTCACTTATGCGAACAGCTTTACTGAAGAATGATTGGCATACAAGAACTTACGTTAAGTGAGAAATTTTTTATTTTGTTTTAGTAAGAACAAAAGTTTATTGTGCCTTTACTACATGCCCTGCACTGCCTTAGCTTCTATTAATAATCTCAATGAAGTCTTGCCACCTATGAGGTGGGTACTACCAGTATTATTTATCCCATTCTATATATCAGGAAATTGAGGCTGAGAGGACTAAGGTTACTTGTCAGTGAGATTTGACTAGAAAGTGAAGGCACCTGAATTCAAAACTAGGCAGGCTGTCCACTTAGCATACAGTCTTCAAGACTATCAGGCTGAATATCAAGAGGAACTAGGAGTGTATTATTGCACCATAAAATGCTAGAGGCAGAGAAGAGAGGAGGTGCTGGGAGATTCTAATATAATTACCTAGAACATTCCAAGAAACAAAAAAAGTCTTTATGCAGATTTCTGGCTAATCTCCCAGTAGAGTAGGCCTTTGTCTACTTAATTATATAGGCCTTTGACCATTCAGTCTCTTCTAACCTCAACATTTGTAAACAATGAGCTTTACAATAATTCTACATAATGTTTGCTGAACACATTACAAGGTGGAAGTACTTTTTAAAACAAAATACTGCAAGAGCACTTAAGTTTTAGTATTATGCTCTCATGATACGGTCAACTTTTAGAACATAGTTTCCATGAGATGTAGTCTCCCCCAAGAACAACTGCTAAACTGTTTTAGAAGCATGAGGACTGCCAGCATTTTCCGTTTAAAGAGGTTCCTTTCCCTTACCCTGCCCACCGCCATCCAGTATCACATCCATCACCCCTAGGCAATATGGAGAGAGCCCCACCAGAGCCTCAGCTGCGTTCTTCCTGGTCTCAAACATGTCTGAGCACTTCTGGCTAATAGATGAATCAGAGCCACGAGGAATCTGGGTGTTTTTTTGTTGTTGTCTTTTTTTTTGGGGGGGGGGGGGGGGGGACGTGGAGAAGAAAGAAAAAGAAGTGAAACTCCTGGTTTCTTTTAATAAAAATATCCTGGGTAAAGAGTGAGAGGAGTATTCTATGACTTCCACTTTTCCTCCCAGGAACCGTTCACGCCCTCCACTCTCCCTCCCACTCCTCCAACTCCCTTAGTCTGCACCTTCCCTCCCTCCAGGAACCTGTGCCAGAGCCTGAGGGGAGAAGCCATTAACAAGAATGTAGGAGAGCTGCTTCGCCCAAAGGTCTGAGAAACAGTGGGCACCCAAACGGGTACAGCTTTGGAACCTCTGAAAGATGGTAAAACAGACGGTAGGAATTTTCCTCATTTGGGGATGAAGTCAGTACAGATTTTTGAAATCAAAGCGGGGAAAGCTTTGGCATAACTAGAGCTCCGCACCCCAGCAGCAGCGTCCAGGACGCTTCCCGCCCCTAGCGAGCAAAGCCCCAGCAGCTCAGCTGGCCTGGGCATCTCAGGGGCAGCACCCTCGCGGCCAAGGTCAGCAGCAGCTACACTCGCACACTCGCCTCAGGTGTGTGACTGCTTGGTGGCTAAGAGAACTGAGGGTGAGCGCTTATGGAAATTGATGGGAACTCCCAGAAATATTGGGATGGGGATATCTGGAGGCAGCTGGAGGTCCTACCGAGGCAAGTTCAAGCAGAATCAGAGAAACAGGGCACAAGTTGTGAGCCTAATTTAATTCCTAGTTTTGTGTGACCTACGCATGGTTTATACAAGCACTGTGCTACCCTCCTACTTACTCCAGCTCATGGTAAGCGCTCAATCATTGCTCAGTTACTTTTTCCTGACCTTGGGAAAGAAAATTAACATGTCAGTGGAGCCCCAGAGATATCCTGTGTGGGAAGGTACGGCAATGGGATGAGTTAGGGATTGTGTCTGATGACCCATCTTCCAGGGACACGCTTCCCAACAGTGGTGACTCCTGACCCTGAACCTCAGAGGAAAGATGCTGAATGGAAGGCTCCCCTTTAGTCCGTTCTTAAATCAAGAAGGAAGGGAGCAAAGGAATTGGTATTTTGGCAATTATTATCAATACACGTAAGAACAAATGATCCCACCTAATAAGTTTAAGGGGAATTTAATTGCTTTAATAATGGTTCTTTATAATATCTCATGTTTGCTTTAATCAACATTAATCTCAGTTCCTCAGTCCTATAACTGAGCAAGAAGTGAGTCACACTGTTTCATAAATTCAAATCATGTTGCATAAATACTAGTAAATGAAAAAATGATTCATCCTTTCAGATTTCTCTCACCACACTGAGCTGCCAATAAGACTAACACCAGGAGTACGTGTCCACCAGAGGGCGCCAGAAGCTGACTTTCCTTATGTAATCTCCGTGGAACTAGTGAAGACTTTTGAGTTAGATGGCAAAGTTAAAGACAGGAAGGAGTCAGATCTATGTATGAAAGCAGTAGACAGGTGCATCTGGTTCACATGTTTGTTTTATGTTAATGCTTAAATAGTACTGAAATCTCCATAGTGGTTCAGGATGTAAAATATGTAAATAGCAACATCTGAGCAAGGGAGATAGTGGTATCATTCCATTTGAAATTGCCTAGCTGAATACAGTGGGGCTTTTGTTAATGAATTAATTTCAAAAAGCTTTTCTCCAGTTAAAAGAAAACTCCAATTGGTGTTTCAATTATTAGAATCATCGGTACATATCCTTTTATGCAATGGCAAAACTGTTACATTAAGCCTCAGAGAGCATTAACGAGGTGTCTGTGGTGGTATAAATCATTGCTAATTTGATAAGCAATGCCAATTTTAAGGATTTGGGTTTTGAAGTGGCTCTAAGATGTAGAATACAAAGGAAGTGTTTTTAGAATATTCTGTTACCAGAAGAGACAGCAGCAAAGTTGTTTTTTAAAGGGAAAGACAAGACTATGATCCAAATTAAAGTAGGAATTGGTTTAAATAAGTGTCTTTAAAAAGAAAAAAGAAAAGGTTAATTGTACTGAGGAATAAAAAGCCCAGATACTTTCAGCAGGAAAATATCAAGCTGATGATTCTTAGGACAGGTGCGCACAGCACAGTTTAATTCAGATTATCAGTCTCTCACACCTGTAACCAGTAACTATTAACAACTTATATTCTTTTATTGTACCCTGCATTTCTCCTTTCAGCACTAAGAGCTGTAACCTGAACACCACACCCTTTATTATGGAAAGGTGGGCTGGTATAGTACTTAGTCCTAAAGTTTTGTTTTTTGTTCTGTGGAGTTTTTGTAGCCAATCAAACATACACACAAGATTCAAAAGAACAAAGAGCTCAGATTAGAGCAGCATGGGTTGTGGGGTTGTTGTTTTTTTGTATTTTTGGAGGGTTTTTTAGGGTTTGTTTGCTTGTTTGTTTGTTTTGGAGAGTATGTTTATTAAAGCTGGGTCAGTGAGACAAGAAAGGGCTTAGGATAGAAGAAGCAACAGGAAAGAGACAAGGCGGGGCTGCTGTCAGCTCACTGGGAAGTCAGAGAAAAGAGGGCGTGGAGGCAGGTTCAGGGGGTTAGCCTGGGACGAACTGCCGCTGCCCATTGCTCCCCTGATTGCAAGTCTTGTGGGGACCCTTGGAATTTCAGAGAAAGAAAATTCACTGGGAAGGAAGTGGGTGTGCCTCAAGGAGGGCGAGCCAAGCACCATGTTCAACTCAGAATCCACAAGGCAGTGGAGACTTGGAGTAGACTCCATTTAATGCAGCTCTCGGTATTTTAGTTATCTATGGCCACACAAATAATTACCCCAACCCACAGCGACTTACAACAGCACAGCTTTATGACTCACAGTTTCTTGGGGTCAGGAGTTCAGGAGAAGCTCAGCTGGTTCTTGTTCAGTTTCACGAGATTGCAGTCAAGATATCAGCTCAGGCTTGAGTCATCTGAAGGCCTGATTGGGGCTAGAAGATCCACCTCCAAGACTGCTTCCTCACCGAGCTACTGGAGGCGGCTGTGGGTCCTGGATTATGGACCTCCCCATAGAGCTGCTTAGTGTCCTCACAGCATGGCAGCTGGCTTCTCCCAGATCGAGTGATCCATGAGAACGAGGCCACATACCTTTTAGGACCCAGACTGACCAGACACAATCATCTCTACAGAATCCTATTGGGTACACAGGTCAGGCCTTTCCAATGTGGGAGGACACTGCATAAGGATGTGAATCCCTGGGGGCTAAAACCATTGAGAACTCTCTGGAAAGCTGGTCCCCTACCTGGCTCCTCCCGTGTTCTGGATATTCAGGGCATTCCCACGTGGCCAACCTAGACGTAGGCAGAATGGATGTGTCTCTACCAAGGTCCCTTCTCTATCTCCTTCCTCTCACAGCTTCTATGATTCTCTTTATATCGCTTTTCTCCTCACTCTCACCCCTTCAACCAAACCCTATAGTCTGTCATTGGGTATCGCCTAGTTCAGCTCTTGCATGTTCTGTTGCCAAATGTTCTGGAGATTTTCATTGCTGTGGGCAGAAAATAAAAGCAAGGAAAAACATTCACTAAGGCCAGTTTTTCAGATTCTCAACAGAAAGCCATTAGCTTCTTCATACTCCCAAGATTAACACCTCTTAGATAGCTCCTGCATTTTATTATATTAAAGAATATTTGTCTTCTCCTTGAGTCAAATTTCCAAAAACCCTGTTTGCTCAGTTTCAATATGAGTCAGGCTCCAGGTAGAATGGGGAGTGGGGTGCAGAATGAGGAGGGGTAAGGGGAAAATATTACTGTGCAACGGTTGTAATATGTAAATTATTTCTAAATTATTCCTTTGGTATACATCTTATCCAATAAAATATAAGCTCCCCAAATGCAGACAGTGTCTACTCATTTACTACTTTAATCCCAGTACCTACCACAGTGTCTGGCACATAATAGATATTCAAAAAATCATTTAGAATAAAAGAGGTAGCCACCACAATGATATTATCTGAGAGAATAAAATTGTTTTCTCATGATAATCTACTAAGTGAAGATTTGTAAATCGCAGTTAAAATATAATTGTGATCTGAGACATAATATATTAAATGATGTTAATATTTTGACCTCTTATATAATTAACTAATATAAATGCATTATGTATTTATAATGCATCATAACTTAAGAATAAATCCAAACTTTGTCAATCACAAAATCATTAATCGAGCACCCCACTCTATGAATGAAATCTTTCTACGGGTGGTCAATAAGTAAAGTTATACCCATTAACAGAATTCATCATCACATTATTGAAGAATTTAAATGTTTCTTATGGTATGCATACCATAATGGAATGATTCCCCAAGGGGTGCTGCCTCAATTCAAACCCATAGCTCAACACAGAGTCGTCATCTGCAATGGGGCTGAGGCCCCCTGCATGCTGGGCATTTGGTGGGCTGGAGGCTAGGGTATGGCACCCGTGCATTGACCAGTATTCAAGCAGAAGAGAGGCCTCAGGGCTGCTATTCCCAGTGCACCTTTTGCGATGTTCCACCCAACCCAAACAGAAAGGACAGACACCACCAGAAACAGCCCAGGGGGAAGGAGGAAGTGTATCACTTTGGGTCCCAGTCAGCATTAGGGAACATCACCAGATAACACAGGAGGGGGATTTATTTTAAAAGGGATGGGTTTTGAAGATATGGCAGGATGCAGACAAGCCTAAGGGAACGTGTGAGTCACTGGGACTGTACTGCTAGCATAGCCAGAAAGACTTAGAAGAAAATGGGCTGCTGACACCCAGATGGAAAGAGCAGTTAAGGAGCTATGACCTTTCATGGCCAGCCTCACCCTTCTCCCTTCCTCCAATCTCCTGCCAAAACACAGACAGGAGTGTTCCAAATATATCCAAGACAGGACACAGGACAGCTTTATTTTATTCCTCTCTGAATCCTTCACACATAACACAGTGCCTGCCAGAAGCAATGAGTTCATAGGAACTGTTGTGTTGTGTGAACTGAGCATAACCCCCCTCCTTCTTCCCCCATGCTGTGACATCATGATATTGAGGGAGTCTTTCTGAAAACAAAAAACAGATAACATGGTGTGAATTTTACATCTCTAGACAAATTCATGTCAAGGAAGATCCCTAAACGAGCATTGTGTTGATAATACTAAATGTCATCACTTAAGATGTTTAATGAAAAGACAGTGGTAAGTTTCTTCTTTCAATTATTCTTCTCAATAAAGAAGGGAATCCAAGGCAGAAGAATCTATAGTTATTGCCATGTTACTCAATCATTCTATTTCTATTTTTCATGGGGGAAAAAAAATCAGTCTTACAAAAGAAAAAAAGTTGTTTAATTAGTAGTTTAGACTTAACCACAACTGTGTAAAGATAGAACTGAGTTGTCCAAAATAGTAGCCACTAGTCACATGTAGCTATTTAAATTTATATTAATTTATATTAATTCAAATTAAATATAATTTAAAATTATACTTAATCATATTCCTCAGTCTTACTTGTCACATTTCAAGTGCTCAGTAGCCACCTGTGTTAGACAGTGCAGCACAAACATGTCCATCTTTGCCTAACGTTCTACTGGACGGCACTGAGCCGAGATGAATGACCTCCCAAGATTCTTCCAGAATTATATTTGAAACTCATAGGACTAAAATTAAAAATGACCACACTTTGGTTAGGTTATTCTGACCATGACTGAGGTATGATCACATTTGATTCAAACTACTAATAATGGCTAGCAACATGAAATATTTGATTTTTAGAAAGGAGACCAGTAGCTGCTGTGAAGTTATATTTAACAGGAATGATGTAAAGGTTAAGGTCATAATATCATGGGAATCCTTTTCAAGTTTATTTCTCTCTTCTTATATAACAAGCGGTTCTAGGATAAAAAATAATGAAATTTTGTCCAGTGAAATCACTTATTTACATCTGAGTTCATGTAAACAAAGAAACAGATGCAGTTCTAGGTATGTTGGAATTTAATTTGCCACATCATTCAGCCCTTATTATAGCACTAAGCATGACCTTACCACTTAGGGCAGGATCTGAAATAGGATGCTTTGTGTTGACTCCTAATTTTGACGATGGCTAAGAAAAACTGAGGAATATCCTGCATTCTAAAGGGCTTCCCCGGTACAAAGCCAACAGGATCTCACAACCTTCACAGCCTGTGGCCTACTCCGGATGAAAGTTAGAGTCATTGAGGAGGAGACTCTGAAATGAATTTAAGGAAGACAGCGCCACGGTGTCTCCCTTCACCCTCCTGTGCAGGAGGGGGCAGTGGTGTGCTACCCGAAAAGCAATGGAGGAAAAGGAGCCCTAATATTTGGTCACATTTTAAAAAATATTTCTCAACTTTTGGAGATACAGTTAAAAAGTTAGGAACCAGTGAATAATAGCTAGTATGTACTGGGCATTTCATATGTTCCAAGGACTGTGCTCAGTATATTGCATGTATCATCTCATTTAGAACACATAATACTAAACACTGGGTCTCGTTTTACAGATGAAAAACTGAGATTCAGATTCCCTAAGGATAACACTCCAAATCATAGAGCTAGCGAATGCCTGAGCAAGCGTTTGAATCCAGATCTGTCTGATTATAAAGTTCATGCCGCAAGCACTCTACCTGTGGCTAATTGTTTCTGTTGTTGTTCTTTTTAAATCTGCAGCAGCATTCTAAACTATGCTTTTAAGGGTAAAAATATATATGTAAACAAGCAAACTATGCTTTTAAAGGTAGAATAAATAAGGGAATTTTGCTAAAACCTGAACGATCAAAACTTTTACTGCTGAGTGTGTAAGAAATGTCTCACAAAGAGCAACCCAGATTTCCTTTTGATTGTCACTGTGAGGAATTTGAGGAATTTCTTAGGGGAGACAAGAACATTGTTCTTTTCCCAAATTGGTTCTATAAATTCAGCAAGTGAGTGAACACATTCAAGAACAAGGGATATGGCAGAACAGGCTTTTCAATCACTTCAGCTTCAGAATGCTTTGTGCTCGCTAAATCCTTTTGATCATTAAGCCAGCAGTAAGTGGATGTCTAAGTTAGAATATTTTGAGGAATATTTTCCAGAAAGTTTGTAGGAAATATGGCTCCTTTGAATTGAATACATTTTCTCCGGTAATTTATTTGCAGGCAGATGAGCCTCTGCTCCAAGGAGATAGCCTGCTGTCATTAATGTATTGAACCCTATACAATGTCTCAGAAAGTAATTGGCTGCGGTAAAACTTGAGGGTAGAGAGACAGGTTTGCTGAGATGATACTGAGAGATGCAGAGCCAGCAATGTCTCTCAAATGAACATATTTGTCCTACTATTGCTCCCCTGCTGCAGAGTGGTGTAAACTAGCATAGATGCATTTTTAAAATTTGGAAGGGAAAAAGAACGATTGCCTGATCTCCCATCTATCCTCTTCCTTACATTTGTACCAGAGTATGTCCTATTCAGCACAGCAATGCTGTACATAGGCAATACTTTGTGTTTGCAAAGTGTATATAAGAAAGGGTAAATAAGGAAAGAGCTAACAGAAGTGCAGTATATCCATCTTACAGTCCAGCTTCTGGCTCTTACCTCCATTTCTAGCAAAAGATTGTTGCTGGCGCGTTTGCAGATGAAAGGAAGGACTTCTCTTAGTACTCTCTTCAGTTAATAAATGTTAGATGTTACCAAAGATTCACAGAAATTTAAAATTAGAGGTGATTTTAGAAATCATCTCGCTAAGTTCTCTTATTTTTTCATAGGAAGAAAGTAAACCCAAGGAGGTCAAATAATTTGCCTAAGGCCGTGGTCGGCAAACTGCGGCTTGAGAGCCTCATGTGGCTCTTTGGCCCCTTGAGTGTGGCTCTTCCTAAGCCTTAGGAGTACCCTAATTAAGTTAATAACCATGTACCTACCTATATAGTTTAAGTTTAAAAAATTTGGCTCTCAAAAGAAATTTCAATTATTGTACTGTTGATATTTGGCTCTGTTGACTAATGAGTTTGCCGACCACTGGCCTAAGGTAACAATAGATTCGGATATTGAAAGAGCTGGGGCTAGAAATAACACTTCTTTCCCCCCAAGGGCAATTTTAGAGCAAGTGATTGCCTGAATTAGCTTAAGACATTATACCTCTACCTTCAGAGTAACAGTGCACATTTAAGCTAAATTTTGCTTTATGAAACAAAGAATATTTTATGGGATGGGAGACTTTAAAATCTCTATTTTATGAGTATAACCCAGTTCCAGAAAATATTTTGAAAGAACTATAAAAAAGTAATAGTTTCCTTAAGGAGTGAGACATATCAACCCATTTTATTAAGAAATGACAAGAATTGAATATTGTATGCACTTTAACGTATTCTTGCACATATGCCATTTTAACGTATGTCTTTAAGGAAGTCCTGTAATTTAACATTTCTGAGCATTACTGGATTGTTCATCTGAAAGTCTCTGTAATATTTTGGTTGTTGTTGTTTTTTTTTTTATCTCTAGCTGGATTCCGAATTCTGAAAGTATATTAAATTTCATATGATA